CTCACTCTCTATCGCTCTCTCTCACTCTCTATCGCTCTCTCTCACTCTCTATCGCTCTCTCTCACTCTCTATCGCTCTCTCTCACTCTCTATCGCTCTCTCTCACTCTCTATCGCTCTCTCTCACTCTCTATCGCTCTCTCTCACTCTCTATCGCTCTCTCTCACTCTCTATCGCTCTCTCTCACTCTCTCCCCGTCTCTCTCTGAGAGAAAAAGAGAGAGAGAGAGTGGCCACCAACTGGATTTTGATTTCTCTTCAATTTGCCTAGGGTGGCCCTAAAGTGAGAATGGGGGGAATTTCACATCACAAAATGAACTATTTTGACAAGCATCATACCTGACGTCTTGTTTCAATAACAATTAGACTAACGCTTTGATATGATTCATGGATACTCTTGAAATAAGGCAGTTTTTATGTTGTCAATTCTTTCAATCTATTTCAAATATGAATTCTCGAGGTGAGCATGGGAATATGGAATGGCCGTAGCGATTTGTTCATTAGATGCGCAAAATTTAAAAATAAATCCCACTGACTGAGCCAAACAGCGCGCAAATTTGTGTTCGGTAGCCTCGATAAATAAAGTTCTTCTTATTTCTAATTGGAATTCTTAAAAACACTGATATGCGTTTCTAGAATGCATGTTTTTTCAAGTAACTTTAGTAGATGGGAAGGTAACGCAACGTCGCCGCCATTGTTTGGCGGGTTATTTCTGGTCTATTAAGTATAATACATTTCTGACCAAAAAACATTGACAAAAATTAAAGGAATTAATCGATCACTTTCTTGCATATCTCTTTATTCAAGTCACAACAAAAGCATGGGGGAAAACAACAACAATCAACTGGTAATTTAAAAAAAACACAATTCAAAAGAAGCAACAGAATAAAATCAATTTATAATAACAAAAACTTGAAAAAATTAAGGTTCATGTATATATTTAAAATAATAAATCAGTGGCACAACTCGGCTGGTGACAGTAAACAAAAAAAAACAGCAACAATGTAACAGTTAAATCAATTATTATACAAATAAACAAGAATATAAATGATAGCTGCAAATACGGTCGACTGTGAGATTATCAAAAAGAAAAGTATAGGTTTATACAAAATCGGTACAATTTTTCCACGGTTCAATTCATGTTTGAATGTTTAATGCATATATCGGACACATTAAATTAAACCGAATTTGAGCGCAGTGGGAAGACGCTTCATGACCAACACAGGATGCCCATGATCGGTTGACGCAGCTACTGTGTTGGGTGGTCACGAATGATAATGGTCAAGACTCCCGAAAAAATGTCGAAAATTTCCCAGACAATCGATAGTTGTACTGCAATAGCAACTAACAACCGTCGGAATTTGGAGTCTCAGTATTTCCCGACCACACAGCCAACTAGAAAATCCCATTGTTAGGCAAAGGCAAAGATTGACATTCTATAAAATTATAAAATTGTATATACAATATACATAATATATATACAATAAAGAATCAAAGTTCCATGATTAATATGTGTAAAGTTTGGCAATATGAAATTACAATTAACTTTTTAAAAAGTTTTCGTTTATAAAAATAATTATTGGCAATGAGCGTAAAATCGTACTTGTATACGTGTTTGGATAACCATGATTGACTTAGACTTGTATGACACAACAGAGAACATGTGTACGTGTTGGATAACCATGATTGACTTAGACTTGCATGACATAACAGATAATACGGATTTCGTGTAACAATTCTGGAACATGACAGGAGAAACTCTAGACCAAAAACGGTCATGAGAAAACACGATCTCAAAATCACATGATATTCAACGCTTACCCATCACTGAGCTCAAATAGAATCTTAGTATCATTTTGAGGCAAAGGATACAAAAGAAATAAAAAATAAAAAAACACCAGAAAAGAAGAAGATCATCTTATAATGGTTCGAACAAAAGTAGAAGAAGATCATCTTATAATGGTTCGAACAAAAGTAGAAGAAGATCATCTTATAATGGTTCGAACAAAAGTATCATTTAGTCATCAAATACCTTTTTAACAAAAAATCAGGTTGGGATTAAAGAAGAATGCCAGATTGTTTAATTTAATCATCCACCCACCCCCCTCCCCGCAGCCGCAACAACCCACTCCGTAAGAACCCGGCGTGGTTACCTTTTGGTTAGAAAACACCAGGGGCATAAATAAATCTAGACATTGATTGTCTCCACGATGGAAAAAAAAAGAGTGCCTTAAAATAGTTAAACCCAATGGAATCATAACATGATATGAAAGATTCTAGTTGTGCGAGATCGGCAAGTGGTCATGCCGATGAAACTATAAAAATTTTTTTAAAAATCGTTGATCACGAAACCCTGATTGACTTTAGTAGCAACTGGGAACCACGAATAGGTTAACATTTATATAAACATTTTCTTTTTATAGTAACACCGTTCAATTTGAACGTTAAAACAATGTTTGCTGTAAACTTTTGAGTCACACATTTTAATTCCTATCCACATCAAACGATTTAGGTAGAAAAAATTAATAGACTTGTCTTAAAAAATATTAACAGAAAATATTTGGAAACTTTGAGCTTATTATTATTAATTGAATTGAAAAAGAAAAAAAATGTTGATATAGTTTCTATTAAACCTGAAAGTCATATTACAAGGCATTGTGACGACATACTGATCTTAAATTAAGTAGTATGCAGGGCCGGATTTCCACATTTCCGCGCCATAGGCCAAAGCATATAAGTCTGTGTCGCCCCCCCCCCCATACCCAACCACGGTCAAATTTTTATTTGTAA